TGACTCAATGTACGTTTGTTATGTTACCCAAACTTTGAACATTGAGGTTGAGCGGGTGAAATCTGACCCCAACAGTTAGCTCCCCAGCTCGGTAGTGTTAGCGATAATAGTATCGAGTTTAAGGATCATTGGGGTCGAGGTTTAAATTTGGGATGTTGTCTTATTGATGTTAGCGTGATGTTGTGAGCTCGTGTCATTAGAGTTGACAATGCTGTAAGCGTTCCGCTTTTGTTTACCGAAGATTTTAAGACTTCGCGTTTTGTGAAGATTTTAAGACTTCATGTTTTTACGAAGATTTTAAGACTTTGTGTTCCGATCATTGACGTCAACGACGCCTTAGGCAACGGGAAAATGATATCCGAGAGTGATAATGTCACTTAACGAGTTTGGGTTCCGCCAATGAGATGGGAGGAGATATGTTTTTTTTTTGTTGTGAGCTCGCCTCCAATGACCGCGATGGCAACGGTGACCGCGATTTCGTTGCTCCCAGCGAGAACTCCGTCCCGACGACTTTGACTGCTCGGACCGAAACTCTGATGTCTTTGCTTGGATGCACCAAGGACCGTGGCGCTGAAGCTCATGGCCCCAAAGACGACGACAGCGGAGGTCGCGACGCCGAAGTCGTCGGTGCCGCCGATGACTCGACGAGCTCCCCGATGACCTATTGCGGAAGATTTTCGTCGGGGATTCGTCATCGCGATAAACTTATCTCCCCGAGGCGTCGTCTTCCCAGAGCCGACGACTCGATTGGCATCACCAATGTCCCTGAAAGCCCGAGTGCTCTCGTCGGCGACGACCCGAAGACCCTCTTGGGTGATGAAAACCCGAGGAGGCTCAACGACGAAGAAGACCCGACGACTCATCGCGAAGATGTTGGCGGCTCGATTTGTCTGAATGATGAGGATCCACAACTCCCGCCTGGTTCCGCTGATGCATTGCTATCATCATACTCTTCCTCTTCGCTTGACTCTCGAGCTTGTAGCATTGAGAGAAATGGTGAAGACACGTGTGTGGAGGTTGATCAGACAATGACGACTTTTATTGTAGCGAGTGCAGGATGATTATGAACGCGGCTTTTGGTTCTTGCCTTTCTCATGAACTTAGCTCGTTCTGTTTTCTGATAAATCTCGAGAACTTTAAGAGTAATGGTACTTACTCAAGATGTCTTTCTGCACCTTAGAGTGCTCTATGCCGTGATTGCAGGGTAGCGAAGTCGCAACTACGTTTACGCCTTGCTTTTACCAACGTTGCTGTTGGGTTTGTGGAATGGTACTGCTCTCCGAACACGTCTGTCCGAGGGCAAACACACCTTTTGCTTTGACCAACGTGTTGCTGGGTTTACAGAATGACAACTCAGTCTACAAACTGAGTGATCATTGACAGCTGCTTTTTACCAACGATGTTGTTGGGTTTTTGAATGATCAGTTGGGTTCATCCGCCCCAATGCTGAACATTAGTACTTATATAGCGCGCTTGGGATCCGATGATGGATGTTTTTGTGTTCGAGTTCACACATCGTTGTTGTGGCCAGCAGCAACGGTTGCGGAACAAACTTGCTGGAAGCAAACATTATGAACAGCCCATAGAGAACGTAGCTGACGAAGTCGGTGAGACTTGTGTCAAGTGCTTGACGTTTCCAGCAAAGAATTTGTCAAAGA